GGGTAAAATAGCTCTCATTTAATTTAGCAATAGCTTTAATACTGAACATGTTTCTGAGAAAATAAAATCCAGATTATGATCAGATATTGTCTGCTAGAGAGAGCGAGAGAACAATGTATAAATGCACCTTGGACCAGGATTTTCACGTTTTAAAAAAAAAAAATGATATCTTGGCAAAAGGGATCTCAGTAAATAAAAATAAGATGATGATGTCAGTCTGTGTATTTAGTAAGAACACAATCTGCTCACCTGCATTAAATATGAAACTATTGTTAGCTAAAAGATCAAAAGGATTTACTATGTTTACAATGGTTCATTGCACTGCATTCTGGTTGACAAGGCTGTAAATAGTGGTCCACATGGCAGCTTGAACATCATATTCAGAATTCTTTTTTTTTTTTTTTGTCCACTGGACACTTGCATTATTGATTAAAGGGCTGCAGTGGCCAGCAGATCCCAGTTAAAAAGTAAAATCATTCCAAAATGGTTTTACTACGAATACTATGGGACAGCCAGGGAATTCCTGGCACCATAACCACAAAAAAGTACTGTAGCAGCCAAGTGCTTGGAGTGTTTCATTAAAAATGAAAGATTTTAAAGTGTTTTTTATACCATTGGTCTAAGGCAGGCATAGACAACCTTCGGCACTCCAGATGGTTTGGACTACACATCCCACGATGCTTTGACATGCATTATGGGTGTAAGAGAATTATTGGGGATGTAGACTACCACAGGTTACCCATCCCTGGTGTAAGGCATCTATGGTTTAGGTGCTTAGAAATGTCCTACTTAGTCGGTCTGTGACATGATAAGTTATATATTCTTAGCTAGGTGTCAGTGGGACCTTATATGCACTATATTTAGTGGTATATAAAATGGCAATATTCTTGGAATGAAACATTTTTGACTGGTGAATTTGCAGCATAGGAGGAGACATTGAATTGAACATTGAGAATGGACTTTAGCATCTGAGAGATTCCACTATCATTTTTGGTCATAGACTCTGCAGTTCATAACTAGTGATGTCGCGAACCGTTCGCGAACTTCCCGCGAACAGCTCGCCACGGTTCGCCACGAACCCGTCGCGGCGAGCTCCGGTCAGCTGACACATCCCGGCCAATCTCCAGCAGACCCTCCCTCCCAGACCCTCCCACCTCCTGTACAGCATCCATGTTGAAGGCAAGTTGGGGTCACTCATTAAGGTGTAAACTGAAAATAAACCATTATATGTGTGCTGACCTCATTATCTACACTTGTAATAGTATTTCCCTACCTAATATTCAGTCTTCACAGATCTTGGTCAAAGGCTTATTGCTAACGCCTGTTGGCAAACAGAGATTAAATCAGACTTGTGGATCCTTTCGTCAAAAAGTAAATATCCCAACTGTAAAACAAAAACAAAACAAAAAACAACAGGCTTTTCTTGTAATGTTTGCGTGTTGAAAGGATAGGATACAATTTAGCTGGATTTGTAAATCTTAAGTATGACTGTCAGAGTTTAGTATAAAGTCTTCCTGGATGAGAGAATCTTCCTTTGATTTCATTGTTACTCTGTAGCAAACCATAAAAATACAGAAAGATGAGATAATCTCTCAACACATGACTGTGGACGGGAAAAGCTTTGAATGTGAAGAATAGCTGTGACTATTGAGTCATGTTTTTAATTAGTGTACGATATGAAAAGACACTGTTAATTATCCTAGAGAAAAATAAGAACAGATTTTCTGAGAGTCTTAGTGGATCAGCGTGGAAAGTCTTCTTAAAACCACACTAGTTGTCAGTCGTAAGAAGATTTCCTCGCAGGAAGCATTAAACCTATCATAATGCTGTCACCCGAACGTGAATTGTACAATTTAACAATCTGTACATGAGGAGATGCAAAGCAATACCGGCTTAAATAAACCCTGTAATGGACATGTAATATTGATCTACTTGTAGATAGAAGAATCGCTATCGTAGTGCAAAAAAGCGGCAGGTGGGAGAAGGATTACTATTGTGTGGTCTGGTCTCTGAGCAAGATGGGTATGGACCCTATATGTAATAGACAAAAAAGAAGGATAAATTTGCCCAGACCAAAGTTTGTTGAAAATGTGTATAAAAATTAACTTTTAATCATAATATTATTTTTAAATCAGGTGATTAAAATGTGTGTACAGATTACCTTTAATCAAGGTGCAAGATCAAGCACTCATATATTGGCAGGTAGCAATTATGTTGCAATATAACAAGTGTTGTCCTTGATTAGAAGTGCTAAACGAAGCACTTATAGCAACACTGTTGTGATATAACAAATGTTGCCAATGCTGACAGAGGTTGGAAAGTGTATGTCTCATACACGTTTCACTATTCAGCTTCATTTAGCACTTCTAATCAAGGACAACACTTGTTATATTGCAACATAATTGCTACCAGACACTATATGAGTGCTTGATCTTGCACCTTGATTAAAGGTAGTCTGTACACACATGATTTAATACACCCAACAATGTCAGACATTCAGAAACACATTGTGACTGCATTTGTCTCATGACTCTGTATGCATGTGCATGTATCAGTGTATGTGTGTGCGCAGGTATTAGTGTTTGGGTCTATAGCTGCAATGGGATGGGAGGCTGCTATGGGCAATGCAAAGATGCAATAGTTTATATATATACAGGGACGTATTAGCCGCGAGGCAAACAAGGCATTTGCCTTGGGCGGCATTTTTCAGGGGGCGGCAAAAAACGCCGCCCCCAAATGCCCAGGGCAAATGCCTAGTTAGCCTTGCGGCTAACAGACATGCTGGGCGGCGCTGGCTGATGGTTGGGCCGGCGGCTGGCGAGGGAGCTCTTCCCCTGAGCGGTCTGCTCAGCTCCCTCGCGTGCTGCAGAGTGAAGCTGGGAGCCGGAATATGACGTCAGCCCGACCGGCAGCCACTGGACCACAAGGGAGAAAGAGAGAACCCCCCCCTGCATTCCCAAAGGTAAGGAGGCTGGGGGGAGGGGGGTTAAATAAAAAAAATTTAAAAAGTGTTAATGTGAGTGATTGTGTGTGTGACTGTGTGTGTGTCTGACTGTGTGTGTGTGTGTCTGACTGTGTGTGTGTGTCTGACTGTGTGTGTGTGTTTGTGTCTGACTGTGTGTTTGTGTGTGTGTCTGACTGTGTGTGTGTGTGTTTGTGTCTGACTGTGTGTGTGTCTGACTGTGTGTGTGTGTGTTTGTGTCTGACTGTGTGTGTGTGTTTGTGTGTGTGTCTGACAGTGTGTGTTTGTGTCTGACTGTGTGTGTGTGTGTTTGTGTCTGATTGTGTGTGTGTGTATCTGTGAGTGTGTGTATTTAGAAGGTGGGGCGGGGGGGAAGGGTTGGGTGGGGGTGGCGCGGGGGGAGGTGGGTGCCTGAGTTTTGTCCTGCCTAGGGCTGCACAAAACCAGGATACACCACTATATATATATATATATATATATATATGTGTGTGTGTGTGTGTAAAAAACAGATAACATTTGTATCTTGTAATACCTTTTTTATTGGATTAACATAATTTTTTAATGACAAGCTTTCGGGAGAACCTCCCTTTCTCATGTCTGAAGCATTTCTGAGCAAGACGACACATCAAATTCAAAGTTGAGTTGTGATACAGGGATTAAAGTGACAGGAGTGTAGATAAGACACAGGTTTGTTAGAAAATAGACATCATTCTTGCAGAGTATCATACATATCTTTCTGAAGATCAGAGTGAGGGGGAAGAGGAAGGAAAAAAAAAGCAGATAGTGCAGAAGATGGTACACTTTATACAAACACACACACACAAATATATATATATATATATATATATATATATATATGCAAACACATAAACACATATACATACATGCACATGAACACATATACAGAAATATAAATGCACAGTCACATATATACACTGCTCAAAAAATAAAGGGAACACTTAAACAACACAATGTAACTCCAAGTCAATCACACTTCTGTGAAATCAAACTGTCCACTTAGGAAGCAACACTGAGTGACAATCAGTTTCACATGCTGTTGTGCAAATGGGATAGACAACAGGTGGAAATTAAAGGCAATTAGCAAGACACCCCCAATAAAGGAGTGGTTCTGCAGGTGGTGACCACAGCCCACTTCTCAGTTCCTATGCTTCCTGGCTGATGTTTTGGTCACTTTTTGTTACAAAAGACTGGAAATCACTATGTTGCTGTTTTTACTCACTGATTGATACTGTTTGCCACTGCATAAGTTAAACAGAAAACCACACGAATGGATTACACGAACCCTTATGGAGGCTCCATTCGTGGTACGAACGGGGGACCCCCCAGAAACTGGCGTGTGCCGCCACTTAACCCCGTCACCCCGCAAACTACCGAACGGGCGACCCCCCCCGGCTCGCGGAGTGTGGTAGCCATTAACCACCCAGATGGCTGCGGTTTGCGGTTAACCACAATGTAATCGTTATGCCTGGGGGCATCGACGTTCGCACCCAAAGTACCGAAGGGAAAAGACCGAACGATCCACCGAACGACGACCCCCTACAGCGGGTCGCGTGGCGCTCATTAACTGTGGTTTCTGCGGTTAACCACAGGTCAAGTACCCTGCTCCCAGGTGGCCCTCATTCCCTTACCGAACGAGCCCACTACCAGGCCGACAGCGGGACTTCGCAGGAACTGATACCGAGTTTAGTTCCACGAGTTAGACACGAAGTCCCGCTGCTCGCTAAACCAGCAGAAAACATGGCCGCCAACAAAGACTAACCATCTCATAATGCCGAACGGACTTTATACGGCAGAAACAGTACATTCTGTTCGTGGGATTAGAGCGGCATTCGCCTGGTTTATCTATACGAACGCGAGCCTTAAAATGAATGGTGGAATGAATGGTTTTCCTGTAATAATGTACAAGTTATGGATTTT